CTGCTGAAGTCCAACATCTGTTTGAAGCTGTCTGGCTCCGGTTCAGACTTTAATTCTTGTGACAGGTCTCTTCATGCCTTTAATTTCCCATGAAATCTAATTCAAGAAGTTGTTTGTCTGCAGCCTGCTCCCGGTGTTGGGGAGAGCGAGGCTGCATGCGATCCAGACGTTCCTCGCAGAAAACCAGTTTCTTGGAACAGCCTTTCTAAAAAAAGCTACGTTTTGCCTCTTTTCAAATGACGGCCACGCACGTTTTCGGCGACACTCTAATCCTCTCAGTCCTGGATCTCGCACAACCGCGTGACACGCTATCAGGATGCCATTAATTAAAGCATCGTGGCTGGTCCTCTTGGGTGCCACTGTGGAGGAATCATGCCCCATCCCAGCATTTACAAATTTGTTCTTTGAAAGCAGGAACTTTAAGCAATTCTGTGTGTGGAACGGAAACGCCTACCGAGTTCAGGGCTGTCTTGGGTGTGACAGTGAATAAAGAGGCTCCGGGCACTTTCTCGCGCTTGGAGGCTTTGGTGGTGGCCACCAAGAAGCTGGTATGCAGGAGCTGGGTCTGCTGCAGGCTCCTCTCGCTGCTCGAGGCTCTCAGCTAGCCAGGACCCCTTAAAGCAATGATTTCAGGAGCTACCACCCAGCTGGGATGCTCTGAGCTGTGAATTTAAGCTGTTGCTTCCAGTCCAGAAGATGATCCTCAGCTGGACGGGAGAAGCTGTGCTCCTGCTGGAGGTGCCGTCACTGCTCGCAGAAGTCATCTGGAGCTTTCATAAGGTTACCAGGAGCCAGCGTTCACCCCAAATGTGTCCCTGGTGCTCACGCAAGGGCTCCAGACTGTGCTCTTGTCTGCACCCGCAGCTGGGGGCATCGCTCGGCTGTACTGTTTTGGTAGTTCTGCCCAGCTCCAATATGGAAATAGGAATCCTGGAATCCAAGTGTCATCCACTGGGGCGACGGATGCCAGCGTCATCCCGTGGCACACACTCGTCTCACGTAACATCTGGTAAATGTGGATGCCGTCTTCCTTAAGGGCGAGACACCAAGATGGTCCCTTTTCCCCTCTACCTGCAGATGGACATCTGCTGCTGCTCCAGCTTGCTAAAAATACTTCCCCCGTGGCTTCTCACACCAGCTCGGCACTGGAAAGGAAAAGAGAAATGTCACAACAGGAGGCGAAGGCATCATTTATTCCACCAACTGAGCAAAAAGCACCCACCAAACTGAGAGCCAGAGGGCCAGCAGCCATGGGAAGGGCTCAGCCCATCACTGACAGGGACGGCTTGGACGTTGCCCACCGCCACGGGCTGGGAGCCCGAGGACACCACGGTCCCCAAACGCAGCACTGGTGCAGGTAGAGAGGAGCCAGGCTGGGGCCTGGGAAATGGAAATCGGCCAAGAAATTCAGAAAGGGGAACGAAACGGGACTATAAACACCATGAATCACCTTTGGGCAGGCACAGCTTGGAAAGAAATCTGCAACAGAAAACAAAATTGCGGCTTTCGACAGGAAAACTTTGAGATAGTTATTTTTCCTGTTAAAAATATAGGGAGACGGAAGAGTCTCGATGAGCTCAAGTGTTGAAATGACCGAGAACTTCAGATGGACTGAAAATCCACTGGGTGACCCTGGGTTGCTTTTGCGAAGGTCCTTTTTCATCCTAATCTGTCTTTTCATCCCTGCTTTGGAAGAAGCAGGCCCAGGGCATCCTGCAGTTCCCGGCCACGAGACACGCACCCCACTACCTCGTGCTCCTCGGCTTCTCAGGCGCCCCCGAACCGGGGTACCTAATCCCGCACCCTGCTGCCCGTATCTCGCCAGCAAACCGCACGCTGCCTGCTCGCTCCGTCGCCGGTTTGTGATGGACACCCCAAAATCACCCTGTGCCCATCGATGGAGGCGTCTGGGTGATGCTCTCCAGTGGGGCCATGCCTGGCCCCGCGTCCCGCACCGGGGCTGGACCGGAGCCCCATCCTGAGATGCTTCCCAGGGCACGGCGATGCTCGAGCGCTGGCGGGGAGAGGGTGGCGATGGGCAAGGAGCGAGTGCTTCCCCCACTGACCACGCTCACGCAGCAAGTTGCAGCTGTAGTTTTATTTCCTTTTGTGAAAAATAACAGGGTTCCAGGGAAAACCCCCCCACCCAGGGCTCAGCCCTGGATCCTGCCCACCCCAGCACGACCGCGGGAAGGAGCAGGGCCGACGGCGCAGCATCCTCAGGGCAGGATCCGGCTCCTCGCCGGGACGGAGCGAAGGCCATGACCGTGGCCGGGAGCAGAGCCACAGGACGGGAGGACTTGGGAGCACCTGGAGGCACCGGGTCGGTAGCTGGCGTTTCTGCTCTTGCCTCCGGCACGGAGCGCCGGCCCCAGCTCAACGCCCGCCACGTTCGGTGCCGGCATGCCCATGCATGGGAGCGCCGGGCCGTCAGCATCACCGTGCCCTGCAGCAGCGACGGGCACTCGGCTCCTGCCCACGGTCAGCTCGCAGATTTCCAACGTCAGCAGCTTGTGGAGGGTTTCTTTTCTTTTTTTTTTTTCCTTTTTTTCCTTTTTTTTAATAAAAACGGTCTTTAGGTCGACTGCTGGCAGCAGCTCTGAGCAGAAAGCCCCTTCCTCCAGAGTCTGCTTACAAAAGAGTTCAGAAAGGGTCAAATATTGACCAATAATGGTTTTGGCTGCATATGAATCTTGATTGTGGCTTCTGCAATGTACAGCAGGGAGGGGACGGACGGGACGGGACGAGGGGGGGACGAGTTTTTCCCTTAGTCAGCAGGTTTGGTGACCAGGGAAAGGGGCTGGGTTTGCAGCACGGCCAGGGCAGCCTGCGGGGACGGGATGGCGGCCGCGAAGGACGGAGGCGAGGACAGGAGAGCCGTGGAGGGCACCGAGGTGAAGGGGATGGGTCTGGAGAGGAGTGAGGGTGGGCTGCCGAGGCTCGAGGAGGAGGAAGAGGAGGAAGAGGAAGAGGAGGAAGAAGAGGCGGCTTTGCCCGAGAGGAAGGCGGCCGAATGCACGGTGAGCTGAGCCCTGGCCTCCGGCTTGGTGGTGAGCGAGAGGGGCTGAGCCTGTTCCGAGTGGGTGGCAGCCGGCGCGGCCGGGGACGCCAGGGCGGCCGACGGCGTGGCAGGCGAATCCAGCATGCTGCCGTGGGAGGACGCGGGGCTGTCGCAGGGTTTCTCGGCCGGCAGGTACTGCACGCACGGCTTCTTGCTCTTGGACGCCAGGGAGCCTGGAAACGATGGAGAATGGCGTGAGCGGCCGAAAGCCGGAGGAGGGAGGGGGCTGGCGGGGGGGATACTCACTCTCCGTGTCGTGGCTTTGCTGCTGGGCCAGCTTCTCTCGCTTTCTCTTCTTTTTCTTGCCCTGGAAAATATTATAAAGTCGTTATGTGGCTTTCTGCTACCGAAGAGCCCTTGGTGGCTGCTTGACGGATGAGACCTTGGGGAGAAATGGGGGTGATGGTGCCCAGGGGCAGCTCACAGGGATGCAGGAGCTGCTGAGGGTGGCAGAGCATCCCCCAGGGACCCAGCGCCATCACCCACCACCCCCAGCACCCCAAACACCGACCTCCCCGAGCACGGCAGCAACCTCCCACCAGCCAAACGCCCTGGGAGAGGAGCCATCCGGGAACCCGGCAAGGGGACAGGAGGGGAGGCCTCCTCCCGGCCAGTCCCCATGGCCGCGGGGCTTGGGGGGGCCACACTTACGTAGTTGTCCCGCGCCGACCACGTCGGGTAGAGCTGCGAGTGCAGCTGCCGCTCTTTCCGCGCGAGCTCGTAGTACTTCGCCTGCTCCTCCCGCGACAGCGAGTGCCACTGCAGGGGGGAGAAGAGACCACGCTGCAAACCCCAACGCCACCCTGCAAACCCCAACGCCACGCTGCTGGCCCCGAGGACACACTGCCCTGGGGCTGCAGGGCTCCCAGCCAGCCCCAGCACGTTGTCACCCCATTGCCACCAGCTCCCTGGGACCTCCTGGGCTGGCGATGCCCCAGGACAAGGGATCGAGCCACGGGGAGAGGTGGAGTAAAGGGGGGTTAAAGCCATTTTAAGGTCACAAACAGGCAGCATGCAAAGGCAGTGCCGAGGGAGATGCCCGTACCCGTCTGCCCAGGATCTGGTTGATGGCGGCGCTCTCCTTCAGCGTGCACTCGGCCACCACCTTGGCCCTCATCTCCTTCATGTACAACATGAAGGCGTTGAGAGGCTTCTTGATGTGGGGTTTCTTCTCCTCCTCCTTCTTCACAGTGACAGGGGATTTCCTGCAACGAGCGGGACGGTGGGTCAGGACAAGCTCCCGGCCCAGGGCCATCCCTTCCCGTCCCTGACTCACGAGTTAGCTCCGGGGCTGACGCTGGGCTGGGTGGGCTCCTGCTTCACGATGGGCGAGACGATGGTGGGGTGCGGGATGCCCGAGGGATGCAGCCCGTGGGTGGGCGGTGGGACCATGTGCGGGGAGAAACGGCTGGACATCAAACTGCAGCGGAGGGAGCGGGAGGGGAGGGCTCGTCAGCTCCCCACGGCCACCAACAGCCCCCGGCTTCCACCCCAAACCCTCCCGAGAACCTCCTGGGCTAAGAGACCACCAGCCCCAACCCAGCTGGGATCTGGTTTTACACTGGATCCTGCCCCAGCTTGCAGGATGGCAACATGGACCCAGCCTAAGCGATGCCCTGAGCCCATGGGAGGTTGCTTTTCCCCCACAGAATCACCTGTGGGGACCATCTGCACCCTCCCAGGGGTATTTTTGGCCGAGGAGGCCACCACAGCCTCCTGGGGCTGGTCTGTGCCCGTGCAGAGCGGGGTGTCCCTGGGAGCACCCACTACCAATGCTGCTGCAGGGCAGAGTCCGCATCGTCCTCAGGGAAGCGGCCAAAAACCCGCTGCCAGCTCCGGGACGCCCAAGGAGGGTCCCTCGTCCCTGCCGAGACCCACCTGGACATGGAGGCGTTCATGGCGAGGGCGGGGTAGGGGTGCCGAAAGCCGCCGGGAGGGATGGAGTACACGGGCTGTCCTTGCCTGCAAACGCACAAGCTTTAGTGGAAAAGATATCCCTCCCCAATTCACGGGCACCCTCGGACTGCTCCCCGGCCGATCTCCATCCCACTGATTCCCAAAATTTCTGGTGGTGGGGAGTCCCTCCCTTCCCAGCCCCTGGAGCTCTGGGCATCCCACCAAGATCACTGTGGAAAAAGCGGATAAGTGGGAAGAGGAGGAGGCGCTCAGGGGGATGTGGGGTTCGGGGGGACGTGGGGCTCACAGGACCTGCCCGGGGACAGGGACACGGAGGTGGGAGCGAGCCCCTGGCCCAGCGTCGAGCCCATCCTTACTGCGGCACGAGCCAGCCCAGCGGGTGCGGGATCTGGCCCACGGCTCCTGGCGACAGCGGGTAATAGGGGGGCAGCTCGGACGGGTGCGGCGGCCGTGGGATTCCTGTGGAGGGAGGGAGGGACGAAGGGGAAGCGGTGTTAAAACGTGGACATGGCAGCCTCCGAGCACCCTGTCTGCCTCTGAGCACCCTCCCTTTGAGCACCCCATCTGCCTCCGAGCACCCCATTTTCCTCCAAGCATCCCATCTCCCTCCGAGCATCCTGTCTCCCTCCGAGCACCCCGTCTCCCTCTGAGCACCCTGTCTCCCTCCGAGCATCCCGTTTCCCTCTGAGCACCCCGTCTCCCTTCGAGCACCCCGTCCCTCTCTGAGCATCCTGTCTGCTGCCATGCATCACATCTCCCTCCCAGCACCCCATCTCCCCGTCTGGAGCACAGGGAGAGGTTGCTGAGATAACCATAACAGAGACCTGGAGGGATCCCCACGCACCCCAACCAAACCTGTGACCAGTCCAGGACCCATCCCTGGCCACCGGCCGCGTCCCCTTCCCACCACCCAGGGACCAGGCTGTGAAAACCATCCGGGAAGCAGAGGGACCATCCAACGGCGAGCACCCCATTCCCAGCACGGCACTGACACCGTCACCATCCCTTTGCTCACCCAAACATGTCCTATTCTGTGTTCCCCCCTGCGCTCACCCGTCTTCGGGTCGATCTCCGGGGAGAGGTGGCCGGGCGGCGAGCCTGGCGAGAAGTGGTCGTTGCTGTAGGTGATGAGCGGCGTCAGCGGGTGCATGTGATGGGCGTGCTGCACCACCGGGACCTTGTTCGACTGCGGGGCAGCAAGGGAGAGCACGTGGGAGGGCGAAACAACGGCCACCCCCCCAAAACCCCGCCATGGGCATCGTATCAGCATCACGGGAGGCTGGAGCAGGGTTTTCCCCCAGGAAACCCAACACCCCCGTGGGATTCGGTTGCTCTTACCAAATGTGCAGGCGAGGGCGAGCGGCTGTCCTTCAGCGTGGCGCCGGCGGGCACGTCCAGCAGCGGCCACTTCATCTGCAGGTACTGCAGGAGAGCCGGGCTGACGCCCTCCGCCAGCCCTGAAACACCCCCGGCCTCAAAACACCCCCCAGCCCCAAAACACCCCGCCAGCCCTGGCTGCACACTCGGCTGGGGACACCCCAACCCATGGAGGACACTGTGGCCTGGTGGCAAGGGGGTTTTGGGGGCACGCGGGGCTGCTTGCAGCCCTACAAGCCCCTATGGACCCTGTAAGTGGTGCAAAACCCCAAATGATGCAAAGCCCCAAATCCTAAATCCCAAATCTCCACCCCAAATGGTGCAAAACCCCAAACCTCCACCCCAAATGATGAAAATCCCCAAATCCCCTACCCCAAATCTCTGCTCCAAATGGTGCAAAGCCCCAAATCCCAAATCCCTGCCCCAAATGGTGCAAATCCCAAAGTTCTGTGCTGGCTTGCCGGGAGCCACGAGCCCCCACCTGCCCTCCCCACAACTCTCCACCTGCCTGCACCGATGCCGCCTTTCCCTATCCCAAACCCAGACTTTCTGGGACAAGGCGATGCCCGGCGCAGCACAGCATGAGCCGTGATCGCCCGTGGGGCTCAGCCCTGGGGTGGTCCCCGTGCCCTCCCTGTCCCCGGTCCCCAGGGCACCAGCACCAACCCCAAACTGCCAGAGTGCGAGAAACCAGCCCAATATTGCAACGAGGGGTGGGGGGAGACAAAGACGGGGCTTTTTTGGGGCTTTTCCCCCTCTCTGGGTTAAACCTTGCTGCAACCCAAGGGTTTGTCTCCCTGGCACTGGACGTAAGCGGCCCCCGAAAGAAAGGTGCTTTGTGTTGTGTTTTTCGGCAGAGGGGGGCCGGAGGCATTTCCCGGCAGACGGCGGGAGGGAGGCGCGTCCCGCGAGATGCCGGGGCTGGGGAATGTGGCCTGGACGGGCCGCAGCTGCGCGCAGGAATTTCCCTGCCGTACAAACCTTCCTGATCCGAAGCAGCTGGAAGGAAAACCCAGCGAGGAGCTGCGGGGAGCGTTAACTCTTCCACGGCGGGACAGATGCATCGGCGCGTGCATTGCCTCCTGCGGCCCCCCAAAGCGTCCTCTGTCCCCCCAGCATTGCCTCCCCCTTTTCCCCAGTCTCCAGCGTCCCCCTCTGCATCTCCAGCATCCCCCCTGCACCCCCTCCTCCACTTCCAGTACACCCCGGCATCCATTCTGCATCTCCTGCATCCCCTCCTGCAACTCCAGTATCCCCCACCCCGCATTTCCAGTACTCCCTTGGTCTCCAGTATCTCCAGTATCCCCCACCCCGCATTTCCAGTACTCCCTTGGTCTCCAGTATCTCCAGTATCCCCCACCCCGCATTTCCAGTACTCCCTTGGTCTCCAGTATCTCCAGTATCCCCCACCCCGCATTTCCAGTACTCCCTTGGTCTCCAGTATCTCCAGTATCCCCCACCCCGCATTTCCAGTACTCCCTTGGTCTCCAGTATCTCCAGTATCCCCCACCCCGCATTTCCAGTACTCCCTTGGTCTCCAGTATCTCCAGTATCCCCCCAGCACCCCATCATCACGCCCCCTTCCTGCCGGCACTCGGCCCCGCACCGCCGGCCCCCCGCACCCTCTGCTGAGCCACAACCCCACACCACCTCCCAGCAGCCCGGCAAAGCCGGGAGAAGACACGGCACTGCTCATGGGGACGATCCCGCTGGCAAACTGCAGCCACCCTGTGCCGACGGCACTGCCACGAAGGTGCCGCAGGAAACCCCGCCGGCCGCGGCACGGTCCCGACGAAGCCCAATATGGGGATTTCCCATGACCCAACCGTTCCCGCAGCCACCAGCATGGGGGATCCCCTAAAAACCTGCTTCACCGCCTAAACCAAGCACCCCACGTCCCATCCCCATCCCGCGCACAGGGATGCTCCAGCATCCCGATGCCTCCACGCGCTCTCCCCGGGGAGATTTTTGGCACCAGTGGGATAATAGCGGCAAGACGGAGCCGTCGGTGCTGGGGAGCCGTAACCAGATCTGGCCCTCAGCCGCTCCGCCGAAGGCCGGTTGCGGAGGAGGCAGGGAGCCAGGGCGCTGTGCACGCTCGGAGCACGCTTGGTATGCGAGCGGCCCCGTGACCCGCGCGGGCTCGCGCCATGACCTGCCGCACACCCTGCGCGCCCCAGTACAGTAGGAGCCGTTTCCTGAAGCGCTGGCTTTGATGCGTCCTCCAAATCTGGGTGATCAGCCGCTCCGCCGAAGGCCGGTTGCGGAGGAGGCAGGGAGCCAGGGCGCTGTGCACGCTCGGAGCACGCTTGGTATGCGAGCGGCCCCGTGACCCGCGCGGGCTCGCGCCATGACCTGCCGCACACCCTGCGCGCCCCAGTACAGTAGGAGCCGTTTCCTGAAGCGCTGGCTTTGATGCGTCCTCCAAATCTGGGTGATCAAAGGCGACGGGCTGCGGCGGGGAAGCCCTGGGGTCTGGCTGCCATACAACTCCGGGCTGGTTCCAAACAGCCGAGCGCTGCTGCTGCCGCCCCGCGCGCCCCCGAAGCTGCAGCGTCGC